GAGAATAGAGTGGTTTCTTGCTGCTGATGGAACTTGTACATCTGTTCTGTTTTGAAGCTTTAATATGTTGGTGCTTTGGTGAAGGGTTTTACGTATCGGCTGGGTTTGAAAAGGTACACTGTCTCCTAATTTGCAATAACAATTTTAAATATACACGAAGTTTCTCTCTGGTATACCCAGAGACATGTTTATGAAGGTAAATAACTGATAGGTATTTTAAAAATACTCTGATGAGGAAATTGTGCATATAACACAATAAGACAAGACTGATAGGAATGTTTATTTTGGTTTTGAATTTAAAGTAGTAAAAAAGGAACCTTTTCTAACATCATTGTTTAGATCCATGGCAGGGATGTAAATGGGAAAATGTGCAAAAAGTAAAAACACTGTGTGCTGAAAGGACAGTTTAAATAGCTAGATTGTGTGATGATTGAAGTTATTATTGGATATTATGATAAGGTAAATTTAAGTTATTATTGGACTTTAAGTTTCCTTGCAATATATTTGTAGAAGCAATGATTGAAAATATGTTGTTGAAATTGAGATGGCAAATTTAAATTGACTTAATCTGTTTTTTTCCCCCCTACAGAAGATGAAATCACTTTTACTCAATATTAGAGTACTTGCTCTGTGAGATTTCTAAAAGCATACTATTGTAAATCTTAGTCATATTAAACAACTAATATTCATATAAAAATGATCTCAGTGTGCCACAATATCATGTTTTATTTTATCGTTAATGATGTCTGTAAGAAAAATTTCAGGCTGTTTACATTATTCAGTTTTTTGCACGTTTATGCATACTCAAATGCATCACCACTGTCTTTCTAGTTAAACTAATTGAAAATTATTTATTCAATGTTAGAGAAGAATTCATGTTGCAGTTCTAAACCTTTCATGAGGGATTGTTCTTTTAAAATAGCTGTCACCTCATCTTGTTTCTTCATATATTGGTTACTCAATAGTCCTTACCTCATTATAGCAGGTGAGGTTGCTATAATTTGTGGAAGAACCATATTTCTGTAGTCCCATTAGAAATAATGAAGATTTTGGTAATTTTTAATTACTCTGACAGAGATTCTATGCATCACTGGCTTCTGGTGAAAGATAAATTTTCACTAGAAAATTAAGAAGAGACACCAAAGAAAACAGTAACTCCTCAGATTTAACTTCAGTACAGGAGAAAACCCAAGATTTAAGGAGTTTTTACAGGGAAGCATGGGAATGTGGAAGACAATGTTTGCACGACAGAGGAAATTACAGAGTACAGGGATTTTACACAGCTTTGGAAAAATAAAGCAGGTAAAATGCACCTGCCAACTGTATAGAGTCATAACGATATAGAGTTAGGATGGTTTGTATGACTTGCATGTTCTGTTTTACATATGTGATATTCTTGTGGGTTAAACTTTAACTCCGAGTGTCTTTCATTTTTTAACTTTGTTTTTGACATGCTTGCAGCGTATATAATGTATCTTTAATTAAATTATTAGCATACATTTTTTCTCTTGTAAGCATTTTAATTTTTAGGTTTTGTCTTTAGCATTAGGTAACTGTACATGTATTTGTGTGGCATCTTTAACAGAATACTGCAAGGAGATTATTATCTTTAGTTAATAAATCATTATCAATTTATCACTATAATGAGAAGAAAACCAGAAGATTTTAATCCCTCATGTGTAATTCACAGAAATACTTCTTTCTCCATCATAATTGTACCATTAGAGGCGTTGCAAAACACTGTGCCAGATGGATGTATCTATACTAGATAAAAATGTGAATTCGCTATATGGACTGCATTATGAGTTATGCAGACATTCAGTGATGGCCTGGATTTAAGAGAAGCTCAATATGAAGGATACGTTCCTCTGATGGCTGCCTGCTCATTGGCATAAACCTCCGATTTGTAAATTTAGAACTCCAAGAAGGATAAAGCCTTCTTTCCTCAGTACGACTCCATGAAACCATGTGTCTTTGCTTTTTTTTCTGAAGAAGAGTGTGATGTGTTGATCCCATCCAGCAGGTAGGTCCCCACCCAGTCACTCGTTTACTACCCGCTCAGGGATGGGGGAGAGAATCAGCAGGGCAAAACTGAGGAAGACTTATGGGCTGAGATGGATGGTTTAGTAAATGAAAGGAAAAGAAAGAAAAAGCGAACAAGGGATCGAAGGCAATCGCTCACCTCCCACCAACCTACTATTGCCCAGCCAGTCTCTGCGCAGTGGCTACTTCAGATACACCCCTACCCCCAGTTTTACTGTTGAGTATGGGATATCCGTAGGTCAATTTGGGTTAGCTGTCCCTGCTGTCTCCCCTCCCAACCTCTTGCCCACACCCAGCCTACTCACTTGGGTGGCAGGCTGAAAAACTGAGAAAGCCTTGATGGTGTGCAAGCACTGTTGAGCAATAGCGAAAAGATCAGTGTGTTATCCACAGTGGTCACAAACATTAAACGCAGCACCACACGAACTGCTATGAGGAAAACTCTGTCCCGACCAGGCCTGGTAGAAAAGGCAATGCATTTTGAACTTGAGATTTAAAATAGTCTGCTTTATCTTTTCTGTGGCCACATTAATGCTTGTTTTTTCTTTCTCTAACTGATAGAAGGTGAGGCTTATAAATGTGCTGGATTGTATCAGCTGTGTTTTAAAGCAGGTACAGAGAAAAAAGAAGTCATGAAGCATAAAAATGTTTTGAGAGAAGAAACAAAGAGGAACATGGCTAGAAAAATAATGCTACAGGTTTCACTTGTTACTCTGTAAATAACAAGGAAATAATATAATAAGGAGATACTATATTAAAGGGTATCATGTGTTTGTATGAAAAACTGTTGTATCTAGGTGCATTTGCTGATGATAAGCTACACATTGTAATATTAATGTATCATTTTCATGTACATTCTTGAGAGCTACAGACATGTTTGACAGTCTAGAAGTACCTTTTATTCAAAATGAAATGTATACTGAAAAGATGAGGGGTTTTATTAATTTTCTTTAACACTCTGTACAATCCTTGTTCATATCAAACTCCTTTTTTTTTTTTTCTGAGTAATGATTTGCTTTCAGAAAAATCTAGAGTAGTGCAGGTCATTGTGAATGGCTGTATTTACTTGTTTTATGTATGTTCCACATTGCTGGGACTGAGGCTTTAGGTTAGCCTTAGCACTCAGGAGAAGAGAAAACTTGGCTTTGCTATGTTAGTATAAAGTCAACACTGGGTCTTTCAGTGGGCCTTGTGGGTGGGCAGGGATATGCCTATCCATCCATGTCTCCTGTGCATGTCTCACTGCTTTTTGTCAAATTCATATGGCTGACTTGGGACACAGAAGTTGTCTGGGTTTCTTTTCGGAAAGGATCAATACTGTGACTTTTATGGGAATTCAAGGGAGTTAAACAACAGATGCCTACCTTTTGGAAGTGAAATGTGCAGATTCAGGTCGCAGTAGACCTGAGCCTGTGCTCTACTGTCTCACCTAAGCCTATAACTGTGGGAGAGGGTTATCTATCTGAGCAGATTCTCAGTGATGCACTAGACACTAGAGTGTGGGTCAGACTCTGGGCTCAAGGATTCTTTCTTCATGGTTTAAAAAAGGTTTCTGACTAAGGAAATTATAAACTTATTTTAACAGCCATTTGTGTGAATTGTCTGTCATTTTATATGTCTGATGTAAGTAACAATATTGCAAAGTTTAAGTGTTCGCATGAGTGAAGCATGTATGTTCATTCTGTCCCTGAACAAGTGGCCAGTCACTATTATATAATGATTTTCTGTACCATGTCTAACAATGCTTTGGCACTACTTTTATTATGTCTGTAGGGTTAGTATAAATGAAGTACTGCAACAATTCTTCTTCCATTGTAACCTCATCCAGATTTTCTTTTTTAGAAGGGAATATTTTCTTAAAAATACTCTGTCAGGGGATTTTTTCATTTTGCGTAATGAAGCCCCTACATGAATCCTAAGTGGAGGGTGTTTTACTAAACTAATTGTAGAAACGAATCTTAGTGTTTAAAAGAATGTAAGCAACGTGCAGTTCCCTTAATGTGAAACATTAAGGAGGATCTATGAAGCTTTAAGCTTGCTTTAACTTCTGGTGTGTGTTAGGGACCTATAATTCAGGACTTAGTGAAGACAATTAACAAATCACACACACCCTCACCAATGTCTAAACATGGCTAGAAAAAGTAAAATATTAAGTCTTGTTATCTATACAGAGAATGCTAATGCCTATAATTGGTCATTGCCTGACCCTTATATTTTTCTGTCCTGATAACTCTGTCAGCCTGGAAGCTAATTTTGTGTTTTTTTTGTGAAATCTTTCAGTGGTGTTATCAGGGAGAGTGCGTACCTTTTGGCACTTGGCCCCAGAGCATAGATGGGGGTTGGGGTCCGTGGTCAATATGGGGAGAGTGCAGCAGGACCTGCGGGGGAGGAGTCTCCTCATCTATAAGACACTGTGACAGTCCAGCGTAAGTAGCTAAAGTAAGCCAGAGCCAACAAAAAGACACATTTGGAAATTATTCAGAACTGTGGTTTCACATGTTATCTGTAAAAATGTTTTGCTAGTTTGCCAACATCTGTCTTCAAAATAGCAGACAGAAACACTTAAACAGCAGAAGTTCACTAGACATACTTTTAACATTTTTAATGCATCTTATGTATTGTAAAGATAGCTGGATTTATATTTAGCAGTAACCAGAATAGTTTTCTTTCTGTAACTTGCTGTTCATGCAAAATATATTTAAATTATACCTTCGATAGATTTCTTTCTTAAGACATACTACCTGTAATGCTTGTCTAGGGTACAAAATAACTATTGCCAGTTACTTATTAAAAAAATCAACACAGTATTTCCAAGCTATTGCATACAACTACTTACATATAAAGCATAGTTAGTAATACTGTGTTGCTTATAATACATTTATATGCTGTCATGCCCAACACTTAGTTGTGACTTCCCACTGACTCTTAAAACAATTCAGCGACTTCTCTCCTTGCCACTACTCCCTATTGGTCCATCTACTCTCTCTCAAGAGGGGCCAGCTTCTCCACTACAGCTTTATCTGTTGTGTGTTTCTGTACTGGCCCTGTCATCTGTCTGCTTTCCAATGTCCTGAGCAGTGTTCCAGAGAAGGTTTGTCAGGTAAGTGCTCCTCTCTGTCATTAACTCTTCTCAAATGAGGAATGCTTACTTATTTCCATTGCTCTTCTTTGCTGAATGAATCACTCCTTTTTTCTATTGCTGCTTGTCCTGTTCTGGTTGCCTCATCACAGCTATAGGTCTTTGCAGAAGGATAGTTTTATTACTCTCTACTTTGTTCTCGTCATGTCCCATAATCAGTATTTCCATCACCGTTATTAGTTTTTAAGACTGCTCTTTCTTGAAAACATTAAGCTTTTGTGCTTCTTTCATGAAAATCCATTCTGTGGCTTTTGTCACTCCCTTCTTATCTTCTCCTCTCTGTACACTTAGATTCTTTGTTGCTTGTACCCATGTTTTGCAAGTCAGGCTGTACATCAGCTTTCCACTGCACTCTGCAAGACAGACACCATAATGTCACATTACTGCTGCTTAAGGTGGTCTGTTCACCTCCTATCATTAATAATCACCATCAAATCTGGCAAATAGCACTACATACTGAATGGATTCAAAAGCAAAAATTGTCCATATCCATCGATAACTTGTCAGTCTATGTCACTGAGAGAATAATAAATTAAATTCATTATCTTTTCATGGCAGTGTGTAAAAATGCTAGTGAATTCTTTGGAGCAGGAGTGATTTCCTAAGATTTTTTTTTTTAACTACTCCTGTCACCACATATATGGGTTGCTATGTTGGAAGGTGGTTAAATTTTAAATGTTTAACAGTACAGCAAGCAAATGCATTTGGGGAGGGTATATCTGCATTAGGAAAAAGATTCCTTTTGGTTTAAGGGTAGTGTTGTGTGGTTAAATATCTGTAATGTGTAAAATAGTGTTGATTTTCTTTTTAGTTAATTGTAAATTCCTTGATTTCTTTATTATAACACAATCACCAAATATTTTTCTTTTCTGCTTTCAAGTTATGAGCCAAAGAACTGATGTCTGATTAATCTTCCATTTAAGTTAATGTTAATTCACTATTTGACCTCTGTGGAAGATAAAGTTCTTGAACAGTTTGGAAATTTAAGAGCCAAGGTCTTATTCACACTAATAGAAACCTGCTTACTCTGAAGTTTCTTCAGATTTAATACTGCTTAATTCAAATCAGAATCAGATTCTTGAACTAGAAAATGCAGTCTTTGCTGGCTCCAATATTTTGCAGGCAGTGTTTCTTCATTTTGTGCATTTTCAAGTGTAATATGAGATTTAAAAAAAAGTATCACATAAGTTGTTTACACATTTCTCATTCTAGTTTTACAAAGCAAGCAAATAATTAAAAACTAAGCCTTTTTATTGTGTTCAAACTACAAATAAACTGTCTTGCTCGGGATCTGTGCAAACTAGATAAATGCTATATAAGTCATGATTTTCAAGTAGCCATTGTTGTTTTGTATCTGCTTCAATACAAGTCAATGCTATAATTCTTACTAAATAAAATATTTTAAAATGTCACCTTAAAATTTCCATGTACTTTTAATTTTATTTATATAATATATATATCTTGAACTTACATTTGTACTAAGAATGCATTAGTATGTCTCATGAACTTGTGTTTGTACTAATAGATATACTAACATTTAAAACATGTTTTTCCAGGCCTTCAGGTGGAGGCAAATATTGCCTTGGAGAAAGGAAGCGGTATCGCTCCTGTAATACTGATGTAAGTACATTTTGTACACTGTAAAAGTATAATCAACTTGTCCATTTTACATTTTAGCAGCACTGGTTGCATTTTTTCCCCATTCAGAAAAGCTGCAAAATCTCCATTTTATTGGCAGAGTGTCCAGTAGAGCATTTCTATATTGGAGGCACCCTTTGTGTTCTGCTAAATGTTAGGATTCCCATCTCAATGTGATGCCCAGCTGGTGCATGAACAGGTGGAGTGAGTTCAACTTGAGCATCCATGTTAAAGGTGAAGAAGGAGCATTCCACATCAGAGTAAAGGCCTGTCTAGCCTAGTGTCTTGTCTCACAGCGGTGGCCAATAACAGGTGTTTAGGGAAAAATTATAAACTTTTGGCAGCCAAGGCATGACTTTTCTGTGGATATACTGTATGAGTTTCCAGAAGCTGGGTGTCTAAAGATTTCTTGAACTACACATTGTATCTGTACCACATTAACTGCCACAAATGGAAATATCCTCCATGAATCCACTTTTAAACCCTCTTACTCATTTTGAACTTTTATATACTTTATATAATTCCAGTACTAATGTGTTACACAATCCTTATATACATTCTGTGAAAATACGTTTCTTTTTGTGTTTTAAACCTGATGTTTTGATGTTTGCGGTTCATGTATTATCAGAATGATCAAGCAGTTTTATTTTAAAGCTGAGCTTGTTAAATAATGAACTACCACTGAGGGGGCGGGACAGAGCATAAATGTATACAATCAAATTATCAATTTAAATTACAAATTCCAGTAAGTTGAAACCAGAAAAAAGTACGCACCAATAAAGAATTTCACTAGTAAGTTTACTGGTCTGTAGCACTACAAACATAAGACAGGCTTTCATGTTACTTTAGCTTCAAATTCATCTTAATTTTCTACTTCAATCAAGAAAGTTTGTCACAGTGGGAGAGTCTGTGTCTAAAGGTGTTGTTTCACCTGTTTAGCTTCTGATGTATTTCAGAAAAAAATACAATAGTTAATATGCTGATTCCTTGAAAAAACTTGGTTTTATGATCATTGCTAATTATCATTAGTTCTGCGAACTCCTCTGTGGAGGTTATTCTCATTATTAGGCAGTATTACAAATTTCCAAATTAAAAATTACATTCTTACTGCTAATTTCAGCTGCTCCGTTCATACAGCCAAGAAGTGTGTTAGGCCTTTTGGCCACAGTGTTGTAAGAGAAACTGAAGCTGAGCTCCTTGTCCAGTAGGAGCTGTAAAATTTTTCCAGTCATACAACCTTCCAAATCACAGTGCACCATTCTGAAACTTTGACCCTCTTATTTTTTATTGTATATACGTATCTTTGCACTTGGCTGTCTTAGTGCAATTTTTGTTTGAATGGATACAGCTTATCAGATGATCTGCTGTAATGAATTTACCTTCCTCTTTATTTTTATATGGATTGTCTTTTTCTAATTGAAAGAATTCGTAAGCAAGAAAATTTTTCATAGTTCAAATTCACATATGAAAATTTTGTGTAACACTGTGTTTCTTATTTTTACAGTTGATAGCAAATTCACCTACAAATTCCTGAACTAAGTGATGATTCCTTATTGAAATCAGTCCATTGAAATCTGTCAGTCAATGTTTAACAAATTTAATGTATGCTTTACTGAACTAGTACAGGTTTGTTTCTGTTTTTTTTTCAGTGAGGACGTTGTGTACTACTAACTTAAGTGCCTTATCAAAAATCTAAGCATATTCCATTATCCTTTTAATTTAACCAGGAATTGTAAAAAGTTTTAGTTGATAAAACCTATTCCTATACAAAATAATGATTTATATTATTATTTATCTTTCTTTTAAACCTGTATCAGTCAAGTCCCTGCCAACTCTTCTGTTTATTTGGGATGATCTGTAGCAGACTGTAACCTAGAATATTCTATTTGTCCTTTTCAAATAGTGACCTTTTTACATTAGCACTTTTTCAGTTTGTACACACAGTCAAGGATTTGTTAAAAAACTTGCGTTGGCACACTGGAGCCGTCCTCCCTTGACTCTTTGAGGACTCTTGTGAGGTATCTGTCCAGGCACTCTTCTTTAAAATGTTTATCTCCAATAGATATTATTTAGTGTCTGCCACAGTAACTGGTATACAAGAAAATTTACATAATATGTAATCCTGCTCCTTCACAAATATACAAAAATTTTTAGTGCTTTTTTATTGTTAATAATCATACCATAGCTATCTAGTGATACCATTGAAAAGTTGTTAGGATTTGTTTTATTCTCATATTTTATTTCTTATTGTCAGACACTTTTTAGACAATTTAATTCTTAGTTGGTTTTGTTCCCCTTGTTCTCTCTTTATTTGTTTATTACTGAGAGGAAGCTTATAGGGTCACAGAAGGAACATCTAGAGGTATCTGAGGGGGCCATTCAGGCTATTCCCTGGCTGAAAGGCAATCAACTGTCATTAAACTGTTCTTAACTGATGGTTAGGCAGCTGACCTGTTCTGAAATACCTCCAGTCCAGGATATGTATCATTAGAATTCTTCAATATCCTTACAGTCAGGACAGTTTTCCTAAAATACAGTGTATGTTTTCCCATCCTTTAAGACCCTTACTTAATCTTTCCACAGTAAGAAGACATCTGATAATATTCCCTCTATGGGAGCCTTTCATGTCTTTCCAGACTACTATCACGTCTCTTAGTCTTCTTTACACTAGACAGTCTCGGTGTTAATAGCCTTTGGGATCCCAGTATTGCACATCTTCTTGAAGTGTGGTGCCCAAACCTCTGCACAGGATTCTAGCTGAGGCCTGTCAGAGGTAAGTACTTAGTCTGTCATCTTAGTGATGGGATTCAGTCTATTCATTTCAGTATTGTGTTCATTTTTCTTACAGGAGTGACGATATTTATTTAGTCTGTGTTGAACTGTAATGCCCAAATCCCATTCTTGAGAACTGCTGTTTAGGAAGTCATCCCTCAGCTTGTGCTTGCACAGTTGGTTGTTCCTACTCATTGTGGTGATCTGCATCCATTGCTTTATTTCAAACCATTGCTCCAGTGTATCACAATCTTTTAAAACTGTAATCCTCTATTCCAAAATGTTTGTTCCCTACCTATACTCAGATTCCAATTGACAATTTAAACAAGGTATTGGAAAGGAAATTTTGCATTTCATTATCTAGGTCTTAAAAGCAAATCTTGAACAATTGTAGGCTCTGGCCAGGCAATTTGGAAATGCCATTCTTATCGTTTGACAGTGAATAGCATATTTGTTGGGTATGGTTTTGCAATGGATAAACATATTGGTACTTAGAGAAGTTTAAATTTACTGCCTTAATGGTTTTGACAATTGTAGTCTGTTTCTCTTACAGTAATATTTAGGGTTCTACATAATGAAGAATTGCTGAGACTAGTAGATTTTATTTCAAGATTTATGATAGTCCTTAGTGCTTGACATTTTTAATGGAATGATATGTTTGATTAATGTATGCATTAAGAGCATGCAAATCTGTCATTGTTTTTATGAAAAATGTGTTGTTTGTACATATTTTCTGTTGAAGTTTATTTTGCAGTGTCAGCATTCCTTGCCCATCTGTAATTTTCAATGTAGCATTCCCTAAAGCTCCTACTATTCGTAAAGCCAAAAAAACTTATTTTGACTTCATTTTTCTTTCAGAGATGAATTAGCTCTGTTGCCTTTTCTTCTGACAAATTTAGTTCTCTGGAAACAGCACACACACTCTTACTAGGCTTATTTCTCATCAAAGACTTCCAAAGCCATATATGACTTCTTAATTCAAAAGGCATCTGCTAATGGAAACATTGAGATTAGAAAAGAACATTGGCTAATGAGTTTTGGAAACAAAAGGGTGGTAGAAAGAACACACTCATCAGAAACTTATTTTCTACCACTAACCACACTATCTCTGACAAAACTATATGTATTTTTCCAACCAAAGTATTTTGAATTTTTAAAAAAATACAAAATGCTAACAGAATTGCAAGGCACATAATTACAGTTAAAGTGAATCATTGTCTGATTTAAAATATGTATAAGATGTGAAGCTTAATTTGATATACATCTAAAACTGTAGAAGTCTCCTAATTTTTTATATACAGTAACAAACGTGTTTTGCTTACAAGATCTGTGAATGGGTTATCTGTATAAAAGTATGTGTGTATACACACCTTTAAAAAATTCTTGTTCTTCAGTCTTTTCACGTAATAGAATGTAGGCAAATGGTTTTTGTCAGTTCCTTCCATCACGCATAAATTTATGAATACTGTTTGTTCCTTTCATAATTTTAATGTTTTCAAGCCTGTTTTCTCTAAAATGCATTTGTGTGAGGATCTACATCTTGGAACAGTACCTGAGTTTCAAATGTCACCCTTCTGGCTGTGTTTCCCATCTTCTGTGGGGTGTAATGTAGCCTTTTGTTACTAGGAAACAGAGTAAGTTCAATTATTGAAGTCTGCCTGACTTTAACCTCCAGATTTCTGTGAGATAAGATGTTTGGTGTTCTGTCATCAAATGATTTGTTAACATCCTTTAGATGATTTATCTTTGTATCAGTCTTAAAATTTTTTATGTTCTTATTACAGTAAATGCTTTTTTAACTCAAAATCTTAGTTATTACATCATCTTCTTCACAGGACCTTCTTCAGACCTGATTTTAAGTTCTTATACATTTGTTAGATTCGTACCTCATGATTTGCAGTCTCCTAAAAGAGCATTTGGAAACACAAGCAGCCTTTTGCTTGACAAGTTATCGATGTACTGTAACTGCATGAAAAAAGTGAAATATCTTCCCCAATGAAGATAAGCAGTTATTGCACATTTACTTTGGGAAGAGAGTATATACACAAAGAGACAGTGCCAAAGAGCTGACATTTTGTAAATGCATATTGTAGCTTACCTTACAGAAACCTTATCCTGGTTCTGTACCTGTGATTTTCATAGGATCATAGAATACAAGGTTGGAAGGGACCTCAACGATCATCTGGTCCCACCTTTCCTGTCAAAAGTAT